GTCATAACCTCTAGTATAATCACTTGGTGAATCACCGTCAATGGTGTGTGAACGGGAGCAGCCCTGTATAAGGAGCTCCCAGCCCAAAAGGAAGGCTGGCCTGAAGGAAGCACTGACATTCCCCTGGGAGCAGACCTGAACCACACCACAGGTGGCTGCTCTGCACCAGCCAGAGTGCTGAAGGTATCACTGAGACAGGGTCCATCAGGACAGCCCAAGAGACCTGGTCGCAGGTGGTGGCACCCACCCCATGCAAAGCCCACCACCGCCCACTTCGGTTCTGGAACTTCAGGTTGGTTCTGATTCACCCAAGGGAACTAGAGGGTGATGAGGATTTCTCTTCTCTGTCTTTCTTCCTTCCTTTTCCTAAGAACGAGAATGCTGGCAGTTGACCTCCTACCCAGAAATCCAAGGTACCAAGCAACACAGGATACATTCATGCTGCAGCAAGGCAAGGCAAGTGCGGCTCTGGCTCCACAGACCACTTCAAGGAGTGCAGCAAGGGGAGCTAAGAACGAGAGCTGGGCATTCCTTCCTTCTCTCACCAGCCCTCCCTCCATGGAAACCAACCCAGGGCCCAGAGATGGGGGGAGTGGGAGGTCCAGCCCCTGCCTTCAGCGCTTCCACGTCAGAGGACAGAGGTAATCTTTATGTTCCAGGCCTCCATCTTGACTCACAGGGATGATTCTCCCACCTTTGATGTGGGTTCCCGCCACCCCAAGAACCTCTGCATCTTCTCCACGGCCTGCTGAACATTGTTACCAAACTGCAGAACGGGGGAGGGTGAACAGAGCCCTGGGTGGGGGTAACAGGAAGGCTGTTCACACCCATTCCATCCAAGCCAGCTGCCCTGTCTGTGGGGTCTCGGGCAAACCCCAACCCCTCAGCCCGAGAGGCTTCCTCTGGGCCCCACAGCTTCGCCTGCACACAGCAGTTCTGAGCACCAACTACGTGCCAGGATCACGTAAGGCAGCCAACACAGGCGAGCCAAAGACTCAGCCTTGGGTGGGGAGGGCAGCCGGTGCACCAGGGATTACAAAACCGTGAAGCAAACACAAGCGCCAGATGAGGCCAAAGAGCTAAAGACATCTCCAGCCTAGAATTCTCTCCCAAGTCCTAGACTTCTCAGACCTTCTCCACACCTCCACCTGCATGTCTAGTAGACATTTCAACACGTCCAGAATGTAACCCCACCTCCACTCAAATCTGCTCCACTCACGGTCACCCTCCTGTCAGGCGCAGCAGCTCCCACTTGCTCAACTGGCAGTCCTCAGGGCTGTCCTCAACTCCTCTTTCACCCCCACCCAGCCCTCCAGCGAGTCCTCTCGGCTCTCCTTTAAACTACACTCAGACCCCCGGGCCCAGGCGCCATCATCTCCCACCTGAATAAAGGCAGTGGTCTCCTGACTAGTCTCCCCAGGCCTGCCTTGCCCCATACACGGCCAGAGGGTGCTCTTAGGCCTTCTCATCGCTAAATCAGACCAGGTTCCTCCTCAGTTCCAAACCCTCCTCTGCCTCCCCAGCTCCCAGAGTAAAAGTCAAAGGGCTTCCAATGACCCAGAAGACCCTACACCAGTCTACTTAGGATGTGGTCCATGGCAAGATAAGTACAGCAAGAGACAGCATTTAGAAACTTTTCTAGCAATCGGACATTGCTACAATATCCAAACACTGATACAAAAGTATCAGCCTGAGAGGGATTAGGAATTGCAAGAACTGCTCCCTGCCAGAGGCAGTTTGAGACGCCTGCCCTATACCTTCTCCAGGCCCGCCCTCGGACACACTCCCATCCTGACCTCACGTGCCACTTAAACTCACTCAGCTCGGGGCCGGCCCAGTGGCACAAGCGGTTAAGTGCACACGCTCCGCTGCGGCGGCCCGGGGTTTGCCGGTTCGGATCCCGGGCGCTCACCGACGCACCGCTTGGCAAGCCATGCTCTGGCGGCATCCCATATAAAGTGGAGGGAGATGGGCACGGATGTTAGCCCAGGGCCAGTCTTCCTCAGCAAAAAAAAAAAAAAAGGAGGATTGGCAGATGTTAGCACAGGGCTGATCTCCTCACAAAAAAAAAACAAAAAACAAAAAAAAACTCACTCAGCTCTAGCCACACTGGCTGCCTTCTTATTCTGCAAACACCCTGAGCACACTCCCACCTCAGGGCCTTTGCATGGCTGCTCCCACCCTCTGCCTGGAATGCTCTTCCAGACCATCACACAGCTCACTCCTCCTCCTCCTCCTTCAATCCTTGCTCCAGCATCACCTTCTCAATGAGGCTTGTTCTGACACCCTCCTTAACATTGCAGGCCACCCTCCCTGCTCCTCATACTCAGCTGGGTTGTTTTGGTTTTGGTGTGCTGTTTTCCAGAGCACTCATCACATAACATGCTGTATTAATGTCTTAGGTTTATAAACTCTCTTCCCATTAGTAGGGGCAGGGGCTCTGCTTTGTGCTTAGCACAGCACCTGCCACACAATGGGAATTCAACACACACTTGTTGAGTGAACAAGGGAATGCGGGAGCCAGAGTGGAGCTAGGGCAGGCTTCACAGAGAGAACCCAGGAGCAGTGCCCCGAGGCAGACATGAGCAGGCTTGAGCTGGCAGAGGGCAGCCAAGGACCTCCAGGGAAGGGAGTTGTCTGCCATGTCAAAGGCTCTGGGGTGAAACCTGCAGGGTCCGCTGGGATCTAGAGGAGTCTCTGAGGAGGCTTCTGAGACCCAGGATCAGGGTATCATTCATAAAGATGGAGGGTGAATAAGAACAGGGGAGGCTAACAGCAAGGAAACCAATCAGAAAGCTGGCATTGAATTGAGGCCATGGAACTAGAGATGAAGGACAGAATTTGAGAGGTTTCCAAGGTCAGATCTACAGATGTACGTGGGAAGTGAGAGGGAGGGGAAGGATGAAATGGGAATAGTCCCTGAAAGGAAGCTCTCCTCAAACATCATCACCATCACTGTGGGTCAGTACCCGCCTGGGGCACCTGCTCTCCCGTGAAGGGGCCAGGGCCTCCTCGGCCATCTGCCTCCACTCACCCCTGCCCTGAGTCTGTACCTGTGCCCACCAGGCCTCCCCTGCCTCCCCTGGGGTCCTAAGAGTGCCCCTCACAAACGTTTCCCCTGAATCACAGCCTGCATTTCACGAGACCATTTCCTGTGGCCAGTGTCAGTCTGACTTCTCCATTGCTGGATTCCAAGACGGTATCTTCAAAGCAAACCCACAGATATGCATATATTAAGCACCTACTTTACACTTAACTCTCTGTTAGGTGCTAAGATAGAAGAGAAAGGAGTCATGGGACGGGTCCTGCCCCCACCACCACCCATCCCCCAGCCCGACAGCTCCCCATGAGGGGGAGGCTGTGAGATGTGGAAAGGAATGCACACACGAAAAGGTTAAAGGACAAAACATGACCATGTAACTCTTGTTTGTCTAAAACTTACCTGGCACATGAGAAATTGTCAAAATAAACCCAAACTCATTTTTATCCTTAATTTCTACCAGAGCTGAAGGAGACAAGAAATCCACATGAGGCATACATCTTGAGCAACCTGTCAGATGTGTATGTGCAGGGGAGGCACCCAAGTGGAGGGAACTGAACAGGCAAGGTGGACTGAGACTGGCCGGGGGTTGGGGGGGTGCAGGGTGTCTGGTCCCGGCCACAGTGGGAGGAAGCAGGCAGGACAGGTGAGGCGTGTCAGCCTGATTTTAATATGCAAACATCCCAGGAGAGCCAGCCTGCCACCAGGAGAACTGGAGGGCCAGATGAACACAGTTAACCACCGAGACTCAAAACATACCTTACCAGTCACTGAACAGGTGGAACCTGGGAAAAACAAAGAGGGAGCTCCTGGAGTTCCGGGGATCACTAGGAACCTGCCGGAATAGCCCCCGAAGATCTGGTGGGAGAAACGGGCGTGTAACTCAAGTGCCTTTGGGTGATCCTTCAAACACGCTTTGACCTTTTGCATTCTCTACAGTGCAAAGCTGGCCCTCCTTACAAAATCCTGTATAAACTGTTAGGGGAGGATGAAAGAAAACCTCCCAGAACTAAACAGAGCGATCACACAAATCCCCAAGTCAGACAAGCTATAATATTAATGAGGCGTGAATGAACAGTAACTGTTTCCAGGGCTGGACAAAGGCTGGCCACCTTATCGGGAAGTAGCACAAAGGCTCTCCGCTGGTGCCCCTTCTAGTAAGAGCAGAAGAGAACAGGCAGCTTTCTGCTCTGTAGCGGGGACCCACTTGGGACTGAAGGTAGATTAGACTGAGAGCATTTTCTCGTAGGCAATAGTGAAAATCTGTTTTCAGTTTAACCTGCAACAGTTGTAGACTGACCAGGATACACTATTAATTAGTTAAAAGAGAAGCCCCATTTTTAGTTACCCATTGAATTAGGTAACTTCAAACACTGTGACCTAGAATTGACAGTACAGCTAACTCTCTGTTTACCATGGTAATGGGGATTTCAGGAAGGACCGCAGTTAATTGAGAAGCAAAAACAATCCCATTTTGTCCTCAGCAAGGCACATATCAAGGATGTATCAAGGATGATGGCTTCCAGCAACTATCCACTGAGGCCCTTGGGGCTGCCTGGCATTGTGAGATTTAAACCACACCTTTCTGGCTCAACAAGCCAAGTGGTCTGGTCCTCCACCACGCCTGGGTCTGGCAGACAGTGGAGCCCCCTCCAATTTTTCAGGGCACGGGGAAATAGGGAGAGCACAGACAATCACCCCATGCCTTACCCAAACAGCAGATCCCCTATTAAGCCTTCAGCAGAACTTCTAGCAAGTGACGTGTGATGGTGTGAGGGGAGCACGGCTAGGCCATGAGCTCCTAGGGAGAGAGGAAGAAAGGGGCCCTGGGTCCACTGGAGGCTGGACCACAAGGCCCAGAAGGAGACAGGGAGAGAGTTGGCTGTACTGACACGATAAGTACACCCCCAGCAAGCTGCCCAGCATTTCTAGGAAGGAGAAAAGCAAACCGCCGTCCCACCTCGGGCTGCGCGGTCACAAGTGAGGCAGGGCTGGGACCAGTCGCCATTTGGGCGGGAGGCCAGCCCCAGGTGCGGCAGGAAAGGGTGGCGCTGGCTCAGCGGCTGCAGCTCCTCGCTCTGACCCAGCGGGGCCGCTGTGCGGTGCTGGGGGCACAGCGAGGCCTCGGGCGCTGTCGGGCAGGGACACACACACATACACACAGAGAGAGACACGCCATTAGAGGAAGAGGGAGCAGCAGAGGTGCGGGCGAGGCGGACGCCCACTACACTCGGAGCCGGAGATCAGCCGGCCGACCACATTCTGACCCTGAACGTGCAGCTCACGCTCAAGGTCTGAGGGAACCAGAAACCGCTAGAGCTGGGACCACGGCAGCATCGGTGAGCCCAGTGGAAGGCTGGCAGGATCTGTGACTGGAGGCCTGATCCAGACCCCCAGGCTCCTGCACCTCCAACACCTCTCCAGGCACCTGGAAGTTCCCATAAACTATTAATGAAATGGATGCTATTTCAGCTCCTCACTTTGTATCCTCTGGCTTCTTGAGAATAATGACTGCAAAAGACATGTCGAGAGAAGAGCAGCTCCCACGGCCATATAGCGCAGCCAGAGTCACTTCCCAAAGAGGAAGCCAAGGTGGCTTGAGACCAACTCAACTCATAGAGGGCCTTTCTGGGGGAAGGAAAGAGGCTCCTTGAGAGAAAAAAACAACTTCACTTCTTAAAGGGCAATCTTCATTGTTTGGTGAATCCTAGCCCATATGGAGACCGCTAGAGATGCAGGCTACATTCTTTTCAAGTGGTTTCATTAAGGTCACAACCTTTGCTTAAGCAGAGCAGTTCAACTAAGTGAGAAAATGACAATAACTAGAAACGGGATAAGAAAACGCTAACCTCTCCAAGCTTGACAATAATTCAGAATTCCTAGAGGCAGGAAGTCTGATGTTGCTATGCAAATCCCCTATTTGACACACTTCTCAAAATGCTGCTGATGGCAGTGCAAAGTCATATTGAAACCTGTAAAAGCAGAAAGGTTAGTAAGTGGTCTGGTAACAGAACCACTGACTAAGCAAGGGTCAACAAGGGTTTGTGAAACTACAAACAACTTCCTTTAAAAAAAAAGAAAAAAGTTTTCTGTTATGCTGACATAGTGTTACTGATTCCAAAAAGAAAGGGTATAGGGGACCTGAACTTTTGTTTTTATAGCCAGAAGATACAATTTCTGCATCACCTACCCCACTCCACCCCTGCAGGCTATCAGGGCCACCTATCTCGACACTGAACCGTGAAGGTAGAGGGGGCTGTTCCTGGGACCACTTTCAGTGAACGGCCAGGATGCCAACATGGCTCACCAAGACCAGCTTCCATCACACCCTGAATTCCACGTCTGTTCCCTGCAATCTCTTCTGAACGTTGGGCAAAGACCTAGAGTAATCCGACATGCAAAATGAGAAAACAGAGCAGCCCACCCAGCAGAGACTCAGCTATGCAACCAAATCACCGAGGAGTCTCATCCATATGTTGGAAAAGAGGCCTTTCCCAACCTTCCTTGCCCACACTGACACCTGCAGAGGTTTTTGCCTTCTCCTTCTTCAAGTGAGACAGAGACATACCCTCTTACCCTATGTGATGCTGAAGTAGAAAATAATACTGAGCCAGTCAGGAGACCTGCAGCCCAGTCATTAGAAAAACATTTAATATGAGATTAAAGAAACAAGATTACCCAGAAAGAGCACTCGCTTCCTCCTGGCTACTAAATACAGTCAACTCCCCACTATTTGTGTGACAGGCCAATCCCTTGGCTCCAGGCCTTCCCGGAGGAGGAAGCAGGTGAGACCTGCCTCTAGGCCTGTCTTTTCCCCAATGGCCAGCCCTGCCCAGGTGTACAGAATCAGACCACAGAGTAGCAGAGGGTCTTGAGACCCTTGAACCAGACAGCCAAAGGGCCCAAAGCCCCTTTGTAACTGTAGCTCGATGCAGACCAAGGACACCGTTTTCTGGGCTGCCAAAAGCTGAGAACAGAGCATAGATGTAAGCTTTCGCTCAGCCTCAGGGCACCCACCCTACCTGTCGCCCAGCGCTGCTGTGTCTGCACCCAGCGCACTCTGGCAAGGGGCAGGGGAGCGCTTCCACTACTCACAGCCATGGTAAGAGGCCGGTGATCCCCCAGCCTTGCCGTACTCCTGCTCTGAGTAGCTGGTGGAGAGGTTGGGCTGGCTGGAGCCGCGGCCAAAGGTGATCTGGTTGCTGCCCATGCCAGTGGCGACCTGGGCCATGCGCTCTTTGGTTTTGAGAGCCTGGGCCCTCTCGGCCTTCAGCCGCTCCTCATCCTTGAGGAGGGCTACCAGCTGCTTTGACTTCTCACGCACATTGATGCCCTGGTCCTTGCCATCACGGTCGATATACTGGAAGTCCTTCAGGGTCTGGATGGCGAAGATGTTCTCACGGCACTGCTGGGCCACGCGCTCGGAGCCCGTCTTGATGAGGTAGTCCAGCAGTGTCAGCGCCTTGTACACGTGCCGCCAGTTCTTGCCATGGTCATTGAGCCGCTTCCACACCATGCTCATGATCTCTGAGAAGGCCACCACGTTGTAGGTCAGATCCGCGATCTCAGTCATCAGAGAACTGGACGGGCCCCACGGGTCATTGGAGGTGGCTTCCCGGACTTTTATTTCGGCTTCTGAGTAATTGTTCACAATGTTTTTCATCTGCCGTCTGATAGACGAAGTCGTCATCTTTATTTTCTTTGTTACAAATGTAAAGCCCTTCAAAGAGAAAAACTTTCCTGTCCCGGGCAAGATCGCGCCCTGCAAAGGTTCAGTCTCTGTAACAGATCTGGAGCAAGATTCCTGACAGTCATTTCCTCCATGGGAGCCTCAGGTCCAAGAAGCCAGAAGCCATGACCTAGAGAAAGAAAGAAAAACACTCACTGTGCCACGAGCTCCTCTAAGACAGCAGGAGGCTCAGGCTCAGACATTTCTGTGACCAGCTGGTACTGGGATCTGCCAGGGGGCAGGGAATGAACACACTCCAGCCTTCCTAGGAGGAGAGAGATTCCATCTTTCTTTCAAAACTAAGATAAGATCAATATTACGAGTTAATAATGAATAAATTTTAAACTCAAGTCTAAGACTTTGGAAGAGAAGAAGTAAACATTATGACTCTTGTTCTATTTTCAAAACACTTCCACTGGAATGGCTCTTCTACGGGTTATATTTTCACTGTGTGCCAAAAGCCAGCTATAGAAGAATCATAAGGTTTGGAAAGGTCAGTCTTGACAGATTTTAAATTACCTTTGGGAGCAAGAAAGCCTCTCACTTCAGGTATATCGTAACCCAAAAATGCCTATCTATACCTTTAAAATTGCTTCACACCGGGCTTTGGTCCACCATGATTCTAACTGCCCAGGGAATTCTCCATGAGCACTGCTTTTCTCCTGACTTTTTATAAAAGTTCCCAACGCTTCTTCCCGAGCATGGCTAAGGCTCTCCACTGGGCTTTCAGAAGTCTCCAGCACCTGGCCCGAGCTATATAATATACCCTTAGAAATAATCGGGTTCTAGCCCAATCCCCTCCCTTCACAGAGGAGAAAACTGAGGCTCAGGGTTACACGTTAACCGGTGCACTCAGCCCACACCACAAACGCATCTACCCCTCTCTCCAGAGAAGAAACCTTCACCGAGCTCGAGTGAAGCCCACATCTCCGACAGCGGGCTCTACTCCATGAGTTTGGGGACCCCCATTGGTCTTGTTCACCAGTGAGCACCCAGCATCTAGCACTGTGCCTGACACAGATATAAACATTATTGAACACATTTATGAAACAGATTAAAAACAGTGTCCCTGTCCTCAGGAAGGCCATAGTCTGGCAGGGGACGGAGGTGACCACAGAGGATCTGAGGATGCAAAGCCAGAAAACCAACTTAGCTGGCAGGTGGGGATTGCAAGGCAGGCACAGAAAGGATTTTCTGCCAGAAATAACCGTCAGTATGGTCTTCAAAGCTGAGGAGGCCTGAGGGGGTGGAAGGGAAGTGGTGACATAGGTTATTCCCCATCTATAAAATGAGGAAACAAGCCCAGAAGACTCTAGGGACTGCGAAGACAGAGCAGCACAGCTGGGGTCTGGCCACAAAGCGAGTGGCTCTCCCACCACCCACTGCCCCACCACCCCCTACCCCATATCCCCAACTACTGCCTGCTGGGCTTGTCTGGCCTGTGAAGGAGCTGAGGCAGCCTCGGGCCGGGCTCTCACTTAATGCTCATCAAAGTCTTCAAGTAATGCTTATTCTTCCCATGATACAGATGAGGAACCTGAGGCCTGGAGTCATGTGGTCAGCTGACTGAGGTCAACCGGCTAGGACCCTGCTCTCTCCTCCTGCACGGGCCCTTACTCTCCACCAAGTTGCTGTGCTGCTTCCGCTACAGAAATAATGGATGGCTCCCACCTTTCTCACCTAAAGCCTCAGACACGCAATGGGCACATCAAAAAAAAAAAAAGTAAACAAAAGGTGTCAGGAGGGGGGAAAAGCCACAAGAAATGCAATGATCACTCATCACAGGTACCCATACAAATAAGAAAAAGGCAGCTCATAAAATTTTCATCCTGGTGACAGTCAATCAATACATCTGCTCCGGCCAACGAGGCCTTCTCTCCACCCTCAAATATGCCAAGAATTCTGCCTCCATCTGAAGCCACAGAACGGGCTTCAGCTGAAGGCACGCATATTCTGCCTCTCCACTGATTTGGCCACTTCTCATAAATCCTCCACAGCCTGTCAAAGGACCAGGGATAAACCTCTTGCGGTGACCCAACATTCGATTTAATTAGGTTTTTCATTCATAGCAACATTCACTGCTAGCAGAGATGGGATGGGCCTTGAAAAGGAAAAAAACTTTGATTTTTAATGAGCACCTCTCAGCTTAAAGTGCAAATACTTGCCAAAATCAGTAGTAACATTCGGATGTACATAATGCCCAGGGGCCCTACCATGTGCCAGGGACCACCGGGCACTTCCGTTTGTCATTCCATTTGATGCATGGCAGGGAGGACTGCCCTGCTTCTCGAAGAAGCAGGTGGAGCTGGGATCCGACCCTGAAGAGACCCTGGGCCACCTTCCTCCTGCTCAGGAAGCGGCTTCAATTAAGCACGAGAGCAAACGGTCCTCAAAAAAAGGCCTCAAAAGGTTGAAAATATCACAATTTCCTGAGGGAGAAATGATGTGCTGGGCTCTGCTGCCCCTCCTCTAGTCTGGCCGCCTTGGGGGTGGACCAGAACAGCTGGACTCGGTATCCTCTGAAGGGAGAGGCAGGGGAAAGGCCGTGAGGCCCAGCCAGGGCACCCACCGAGCCTCCTAGGCCTTTGCTGGCAGAGAAAAGGCAGCAGTGTCTGTGAGCAAGGGTCCAGGTGCCTCCAGGCACAGGCTGGGAAAGGAACGCCAAACAATTTAGAAAGGGGCTGCAAACCAAGGCGGTGGCTTTCTCTAACAGGCTCAACTTGCAAAGACACCTGTTGGCAGTCTCTCTGAAATATTTAGGCTTCGAGAAGAAGTAAAAAGCTAATAAAATATTTGTTATAGTCAGAAAAAATATGTAAAGTTTATATTAATTTGAATGGCTGCCTGCTATTTTCAGACAAGAGCAGCTTTTAGGACTGGCAAATGGCAAGAAGGGTGAGATCTGGGGATAAGAAATTCCTGATAGGAGAAAGGACACCAAAGGCACCTCCAAGAAACCATTTCCAAGGCCAACAGAATTACGCACCTCACCGAAGACTTTGCAGACTGAAATTGCACCTTCCGGCCATGAGAGAACCTGGCGACATGTGAGTGGGCTGCAGGACCAGAGCAGTGCCAGCCTGGGCACAAGGATGTCCCAGATTGCTCCACCTAAAGATATGGACCTCTGCTGCTCAGTTGCACTTGCCCATGTGGACCTCACACCTCGTTTTTCCCATTTTAACCTCTCCCCTTCAACCTCAGGACTGGGCTGTAAACACTGAAACCTCTCCCCTCCCAGCAAACATCTGCCAGGTGCTCCCTCCTAAAAGCAAGCCCTGAACACACACCATCCTCAAATACACATCCTGTTATTTCTAGAACCTGAGTTTTGTCTTGTTCTCACTCTTTTTTGAATAGTTTGCATGCTCTACCTTTCTAAACTTTCCTTCTCAATTTGCCAGTTTTCTTCCATTTCCAGCTTGCTGAGCCTGAACTAATCTACATGCAAAAGCAACTAAAACAGGATCATTTGTTACCTTCTTGGCTCTTCACTCAAGCCTGGGGGAACTGTGGTCAGTTCACAAATATCCAATCATTTATTAAGGACCTCCAGGCCAGATATGGGGAAGACAGAGGGTCGGGGAGGGGTGGAGTTTGTCAACACAAGAAGGAAAAATAAATTTTGTTAAAGGTTTAGACCAATATAGCCAAAAAAAAAAAAAAAAAACAACGTAGGAGGACTCATTTTCATAAATTACATGCTGACAACTAAAGGGACAAACGCCATTAGAACATCAGTAACTAGAAATGCCTTTAGAAATCTAGTGCCACCATCATATAGTACTTAGAACTATTTTACAATAAGTGGTAAATGAAGCACGTAAATTTGTATAATTCTGTTACAATTTTAAATATTTTTGAATGGAGGCAGCAAAATGACTTCAAGTTGAAATTTACTATTCAAGGCAAACAAATCTTTCTTCACCTACCAAGAAAGCTGGAACAGGAGCCAGAGGACATCCATTTACTTTCCTGAATGAGGTAAGCAGGGGCTCCCAACCACCACAGCCTCCACCATACCTCCCCACTCCAGCCTCAGACTGGAAAACCCTATTTTGAAATTGAATTAATAATTTATTTTATTAAGAATGAGAGTTTCTGATGCACATGAGGTAACCACTGGTAACCACACTGAGTTGATAAAACCAAACCAACAGCAAAGAAACTGAACACATCACTGGCCTGGGGAAGCCTCACCGTGGGCAATGCACATTTCTGTCAGGCCTTCCAAAAGGCCCTGGAGAGCTTCGGAGACTCCACATCAAAAGCCACATTCTATTCAGTATGGAAGGGGACTCTCACTTTTCGACAGTTAGTCCCCAGTACTAGGGAAGGTTCAAGCCAAAGAATATTTCACTTCCATCCTGGACCATCCTGGAAGTGAACTCTGTTGTTCTGCCTGTGCAATACCCATAACCCCTTGTCTCAGAAAAAGCCTCAGTCCTCTGTGGGGAAGTGGCCAGGAGCAGGCACAGCCCAGCCTAGGCCCAGTTAATCAGAACACCACAGGCTACCAGCGACGGTGGCTAGATCAGGGGTGGGCTAACAATCCAGACTGGGCCACCCAGAGACCTCTCTGGATGGACCCTGAAACCATTGGGAAACCAGCAGGGTTGGTAAACTGCTGGAAGCCACCATAGGGCCAGGGTTTACCTAAGTCTGAAGCCGACACAGAAGCAAGCAAGGAGCCAAGGGACGGAGAAGGAGCAAGATAGAATATCATCCGAACCTCTAGGCCCACCTGTGCCTGAAGCCATTTATCCCCTACCCTTCTGCATGAGCCAACACAGTCACTTGTAACCTACAGCAATGTGCGCTTCTGTCATGTGCAACAACAAGCCTTATGCAATGAGTCCCCTGAGAGGAAGAAAGCCGGCAACAGCCAAACAATGAACATACAGAGCCTGGTCCTCCCCAGAACCTCCAATGGGGCCTCAAGTAGAAGTGCAGGGACACCAACCAGGCTCTCCTCAGTCACACCTGACCCACGGCCCCAGGCTGATCAAGGAGCTGCATCCTTCCCAGGGAGGCTCACTACTCCTCAAACTGCAGGCCCCCCCAGTCAAAGTCTGGGATCATCACTCTTTTTTGAGGGTGGCTTACGATGGTGACAATAATAATAGCTGG